CGATTCCTGGCGATTCCGTGAGATTCTCAGCAGCCCGCCTGTGGCGATCATCGTGCCTATTGGATCACGGGCCTGTCAATCATCCTGTGATTCTATTCAATAATGTGATTCTATTCAAGTTTCAATAATCACAGGCACGTTTCCCCATGGATGTTAATGTTTATTATATTCTCTAGTAATATGGATGTGCAATTCTAGATAAAGAGATGATCTTAGATAAAGAGACAACCTTTTTGTTCTTCACATCTGATGTGACCTGAAGAATATCAGTAAAAGTGACGATCAAAGTTCATAAATTAAAGCCATTAGACTAGGGGGGGGGGGGGGGGGGGGGACCTATAAGTAACAAACTCAGTTTATGAGTTTATGTATATTGGGGGTCTATAACACGTATTTCCCTCAGAAAGTGCCGTTTCATTTAAATATTAGCTACTCATTTCGTATAGGGAAAAAGTCCCCCTGTAATTAATCATTTTATCCCTTAAAACTCATCTTTGATCACCAAAATGACATTTAAGCATTTTTCCCGTGAAAAAAATGTCTTCGTGCCTTAAAATATCTTGACTGTAACTCGACACCCTCGCCTCATTTAGTATGCGCGGCTCTATGAATATGCAAATGAGCCCCGCCTCCACTCACTCCCTCAGCTCAGAGATCCACTGGTTGACGATCACACGTTGATCTGATTGGTTACAAGGTCGTTTGTGACGTCAGAAACACCAGTGATTTCAAACCTTGTTTTTGAGACTGTCTTTGGTTCACTGCAGTTTTAAGGAGGAAATACTCAGCAATGCTGTCGACTTATGAACTTACACATGGTGTGTCTTAAAGCGTATTAAAAACACCACATAGACACGACATTAAAAGCTGGATTTCACCACAGGGCGACTTTAACATTACTTACTGAACAGGAACTAACAACAGTTTTTTTTATTAAGCTTTGTTAATGCTTATATTGATGGGTTAACTGGTCTGAAGAAGATCACTAACACTGACTTAATTCTCCACTAGATGTCAGAATAAACACATTTATAACACATGGAGAGAGAAGATTAATGCAGGACAGAATTAACTCAAAGAACTTTATTTTCATAGCAGCTAAAACTATTGAACAGCTTTCAACAAACTCTCAAAAATCACCAACAAAGTGTCTAAGACCCGAGTCCTCGGCTAAACCAGTTATTGCCCTTGTGTATATACAATATCTGCTCACTAGAAATGAGTGGAGATACAAAAACAACATGTGCAAAGTTGCATAATATGAGCTGTGTGTGTTTATAACACCTGAAACACGAACACTGCTGTCCTACGTGGACACAATATTGTAATTTCTCTCTCAGGATCTAGTAGTTGTGATTATGCCAAAGGTGAATGTAATTTTATAATAAACATATAAAATTGTGACGGATATACAGTGAGCTGTGAAGTCTAACACACGACAGCTACACAAAACATCCTGCAACAGTTTGTCTAAAGGCACGACGCGTTTCTACATCAGAATCATGTTAACAACTTTTCTTACACAATATCTGTTCTTGACATACAATACAGTACAAACACTGGGATTGCATTTTAAAAGAAAGATCCCAGTTAACAAATATATGTTCCCATTAAGTTATGAAAACATTTTTTTCTAAATGTTCTCTGAACGTTCAAAGCGTCCAGTTTTTAAAACAGTTTTTTTTCTTGGTTATACGAACGTTTAGGAAACATTCCATGACGTCGTTGTTGACGGAAACGTTACTTTTGAATGTTCTCGGAACGTTCCGAAACAAGTAGCAATATTTGAATTTTAAATGAACATTCGAAAGTAACGTTTCCGTCAACAATGACGACATGGAATGTTTCCTAAACATTTAAATACAAATAAACAGTTAGCTAAGAAAGACAGTTGATGGTGAATAATGTTAACATTTTGATGCTACAGTGAATAAAACTAAAAAACTGCATAACATTTTTGTTTAATAATAAACTACTTGATTAGCGGAAGCGTCTCCCTCCTGTAAATGACTCACATGATCTTATGCTTAATTCATACAGTATCACATTAAACAATATGAGTTCACATCAAGTTACTTGTTATGAATGTGATGATGCTTTTTGTTCCGCATGAGTCAAAACAAGAATGTTTATGTCAAAATTAATCTTTGCCTTATTAAATAAAGGGTTTGGATGACAGATTTTTTTTTTTTTAACTAAACTCTTTAACAACAACACAATCTAAAAAGGCCAGAAATACTAAATCTAGACCAGATCTAGAATTGATATATAGAAACATCATTAGACTGATGTTCTCAAATAAATAAAATCATGAAGATCATCATACCATATTAAGGTCTTGCACATTTTCTAAATCGTTTTCATTTTTCAACCTGCTTAAAATGTTGGTGGATATGATTTTTTAATGTTTGTGAAAGAGTCTCTTCTGCTCACCAAAGCTGCATTTATTTGATCAAAAACAATATTATTGTAATGTAAATCATCTGTTTTCTATGTGAAT